GCGGCTCCCTCCGCACAGGGTAGCCTCGAGTCAGAATTCGCGGAGTCTCTACTGACCGGCCAAAAAAGTGTGGCACTTCAACTGCTCCCGCCCAGACGACTTGATGTATTTGTATACACCCATGACATCGGCAGCGATCGGCGATTGAGGTTCCGTTAGCCGACGCAAGCGTCAGCGGACGTCTCATATTTCCATACTCTCATTTAGCTACAGAAACAAAAACACCAAAAAAAAAAAATCATCCAGTCTATGTTCACTATGTTCACCACTGACAAGATAGTCGGTAGTCGACGAGTTTCCGTGCAAAGCCGATAAAAACGAGGCACCAGATCAACGTTTACCTCGCTTCCTTTTACGGTTGCCATCAGGAAAGATATGGCTTGTCGTGTTCCCTCAACGTCACTCCGAATATTGTTTGTGCCCCGCGCACCATCCTGTTGTGGCAATCTTTTTATTGTCCCCATCTGATTTCTTTTTTATGTTCTTACTGGTGTTTGATCACAATTCAGTCATTGAAATAGTTTTTGCTGCCGATCCTACCATTCTTTTGACCCTCTCGCAGCAAAGGAATATTATGCCGGCATTACACACGAAATAAGAATGTAGACACTCCGTAACATATCTCAAATTACATTACAATGTGTTTACACAACTGTAGTGCAGAGGTACGATGAGCAGGATCTGAGAAAATATTAGTTTCAGTATTTTCAAAAGACCGATGAAACAAAATAAAGAAAGAACCGCCAATCGGCAGCGCGTGCAAGCAGAGGCAGTGGTGACAGGAAGCGCCAGATGTGTCTTTTGTACAGCCGGCATCCAGGGCGTGCTCAGATGTATACTGACGCTCATGAACTCATGAGACGTTGACGCACTGTCGAAGGTGTACTCTTTTTTACTCGCAGGATCGCAACGCTGGGGAATGTAAGTGTGTGATTTCAGAAAGCGCTTCCTACCATTTCTACGCGCGAGTGCTCCTGCAACCCAAGCATTGTATACAGTTACGTCCTCGCACACGTGCCTTTGCCAGCCCCGTACAGAACTTATGCAGTATCGAAAAAGCATAGTTCAAAATTGACGGTCCCACTTTTCCATACCGCTTCAAAACTCCATCTCGCTCAAATCACTTGGCAGCCGGACAATTTGGGGCAGGGGGCCTCCAGTTGGGGATTATCCGGTACATTGTCCTCCCAACAATGAACGTGGGCGCGACGCGCTAGAGGGTGAACACAAGAAAGGAGGGGCGTAAGAGTGGAGAAGGAAACTCAAGGTCGCAAGCGACGGGGAAAAAGGGTTTCGAAATTGGCACGCAGGTTTTGCAGCATTTGCTCAAACGGACAGCCAACGCCGCCCTGGTGGTTCAACTAATGTCTAGTTCAAGATGGCCGCCGTGGTACCGCAGGCTTAAAGGGGTTATGACACGAAAATTAAATGGATATATTATTCTTCAAATGGAATGCTCATAGGCTACTTAGTATATACACCAAGTTACGCGATTTTCAGAGCTCTGGTAATTGCAATATTCAATTTAAGAATTTTTATCATTTTCATCTGGCGACCAGGCAACACTGCCCAAGTTAGTCACACCATGGTGTCCATAAACCACGTGACCGTGAACACTCTTTCATCCTAGGCGCCCCCATGATCGCCCAAGCTCTCCTCGTCGCGATATGATCAAAACCGCTCACACACAACTCGCTAACCCGAAAGCTATTCTTGCTCTCGCCCCCGACCCGTTGACCTTCCACCCTGCATGCGCCCGTGAGATATTCCCGGACGACGGTGACCACAGCAAGTTCGTCTGTAAATTGTCGTCGCTGGAGCTGGTCGCCAGCGAGTCGCAGACTCGTTGTCAAAATGAACAGCTTCCAACATGTATTGATAGCAATTACTCTCATCGCTGCTGCGATTAATGTCGAACACTTCCCCAAGGCGAGCGATGCCGTAGACGTAATCGTCACGGACCGCATGCTTGAAACGTGGAAGGTAAACGAGGAAGCTGAGGCTCGATACGCCTAAAGATACGCCAAGAGAGCCAAGTCTGTGAGTGCGTGCAAGGAGACACCGTGCTGGAGGCTGGCTACGTAGCCAACCTCCAGCGCCGCCCGGATCTGCCCCTCCGAGGGGCCCGCATATAAATCGATTTATCCACGAAACTATTGCGCCATTTTTAAAACCAATTTAGCAGGACTATAGGAACATACAATGGGTCCCAGCAGCATAGTTATCTAATATTTTATTTTTGGCGTGTCATAACCCCTTTAAACTTCCCCCCGAACGTTGTCAGCAGGCACTCCGCAGAGACCGAAACATCCTCAGCATTTGACGTTGAAGCAATAGACTCTGACGCGTGAGGGCTAGTTGAGCCTGTCGAACTCGCAGCTCACGACGACAGGGATGGTGACGGCGGTGGCAGCGGGTCGGCACTTTTTCGGGGGCGTCCTCTTGTCAAGCCTCTTCGTTTTCGAGATCGAGAACACCGGCCAAAGCTACCGTGAGTGCTCGCTTTCACGGCAGGCATTCTTCCGTAGAAAAACCAACGCAAACAAAGATAAAACAAAAAAGCGGCCGGAGCGGCGGAGTAGCGATACGATCACGAGCGAAGCTAGCTGACGAAAGCGAACGAACTGAAAAAACAAACCGTGACGTCACCACCGCGGCCAATCGCGAGGCCTGTTTCGGTTTTCAACCAATGAGATAGAGCGTAGCATATTAGGAACGTCTTTTTTCCATTTTTTCTGCTTCGATGTTAGGGCTCTCCCAGGCCACAGATACTTTCTAACGCAGAAAGCTTTTCACAGCAAAAACTAGAAGAAATGGCGCTTCCAACGAGGGTAAAACGATTCGCCCGCGTCAAATTGAGCGCGGAGTAGGCTTAGTTCGAAAACGCCGTATTTTGCCGTGGTCTCGCTCAGCGGGGCATCGCGCGTGCTCGCAACCGTGCTGAAAATCTTTTTTTGTGAAATAAATCTTGCATATTTCTAAATGAAACTTCTTGACGCTATGCTTCGAAAGTTAATGAACTGAAAATAAACTTTTTCAGAAACACATTTTTTTGGAAAAAAATCTGAATTTTGAGGCTGTAAAGGGATACTACAACGAAATTTCGGTGCTCAGTTTTTTGGTCTATATGTGTTCAAAAGAGCAGTATCACATGGAACATACCAATATCTTGTTAAAAAAGTCTCAAAAAGGAATTTTAAAACGAATTAAACAATTAGCAAAGAGCACCTGGTGGATGTCGCTAACGCCTCGTTTGTAATGCTCGTCTAGGAACCTTGACAGCTAGTGACGGAGGTTGTCTCGTCTCCGGCCACGACGAGAGAAGAGGGGAAGGAGGAACTCCCCTCTTCCCGAGAATCCCTTTTGTGTGTCGCAGAAGTTGCTATTGTCCCCCTAGAAGATTATAGAAGATTAACCCGTCACTCAAAATTCATACAAAAGCAGCCGCTTCGGTGGCTGGAACGACTAGGCCAACCTCTTTACGTCAGCCTCGCCGTAGCTTTGCTCGTCTTGAGACGACCTACGTCACGATTGCGTTGGATGTCACGTGCTCTAAGCTGGGCCTTCTCCGAGCGCTTGCCAGAGTGGGCCGTTTATAACGAAAAATACAGCCACCAGGATCAAAATACAAACGTGCGATTGTCATTTACGGATATTGTGGATCATATTCAACCTATTTTTGAACACGACGGGAATATTTCAAATTTCGTTGAAGTATCCCTTTAAAGGGGCCCTGCAACAACTTTTTGACTGGTTTTTAGTTTGCACCGAACCTGAGCGCACTGAACGTAGTCCCTTAAAAAAACTTTTCTTTTCCCAAATTTCGCTTTTTTTTAAAAGTTATAGGCAAACTAGAATTACAAAAACAAGCAGAAAATAACCTCCTTCATAACATCGTAGGTCCTGGCTCGAGTGGCCGTGAACTAGAGGAGGAGTAGTGAGCTCATCGAGCCCTCACGGCTGCCGCACTCCGTGTCGACGGCTCGAGAGGGCGCCACTAAAGCATGTGTTGGATAGGCTGTATGAAACAGGCAGCCAGTGCGGCTCGCATTGCTTTTGCTTCGCGATTAAAGACTAATTCGGCATAACACTTCATTGGCCACAAACGACAGCAAACACGGGGTAAAGATCAGTTCAGAACGGGAGCCACCTCGCGCTGCCATACCGCCAAATGGCCAGCCAAGCCCGCGCCAAAAGCCTTCGAAACGCTCGGAACCGGTCGGACCTTCGAGCCGGTATATGACCGCAGCGCCGCCGCGTACACCCGGGACCTTTCTACGTTCGTCAGCGCCTCATCCCACTATCCCTTTCTAGTACACGCCATTTTTTCCGCCGCTTGGTGGTGGGTTTGTCGACAAGTCTTTTCTTGTTTCCGTACTTTATGAACTGCATTTGTTTCTTTTCTCATCTAAAATACTGAATGAAAACTACTTTCATACATAACTGAAACGGGTCGTCACATTTATATTTTGTATCTCGACTATAAAAAAAATCTTTCAGCGGCTCAGACCAGTTGTAAGCGCAGGACCAAAGACGTCACATATTGCGCGGTTTCGGCAACGCGGGTCGGCCTCGTAGGTGGAGGAGGTTTCCGTGTCATCCGGTTAAAATATGATTCACTGATATTTAGTTACTCTCTCCGTGCCCGCTGGCTTGCCCGAACCCCAAGAGACGTGGAAACCGCAAAAAAGGTTGACGCTTAAATATGATTGCAGGGCCTCTTTAAACATTCACTTTTTGGGGTATCGTGCATCGTACAAAACACACGCTGCAGACGCTCCTCGGGTATTTTCGAAGCAGCTACCTACTGTCGAGACCGTTTACAACGAAGTAGCGGCTACGGCAAAGCGATCCCCCTTTCCACTCGGTTGACCCAGGTCCGTTGTAACGAAGTAGCGCACATAGCCAAGTGATTCTCGACAGCACGTGCTTTGTCTGCCGAGGGATACCAGGCAGTGTGGCTCCCTGCTGGAGCGAAACAAGTGCGGGAAGGAGCTCACCTCCACCAAGTCCGGAATGGCCTGCAGCAGCTGGATGAGCTTGTTGAACCCGTAGCGAGAGACGCGCAGCTTGCGGTCAAAGTGCTGCTGGTAGGCCGGGTTGAACTTGGCCAGGAGCATGCCAGACTCGGGGCCCTGCGAGAGCAGCTCCACCGCCTCCAGCGCAAACTGCCACACCAGCTCCGCCTCTTCTGCCGTCTGCTCTGCTGCGCCCAAACGGGAGACGCTCTCAGCGCCTGGCATGGTCCCCGACGGAGAAAACACCCAAACTCCTTTCTGTCCCGGCTCTCCACCCTGCCCCAAGTGGCAACAAATGACCTCGCAAAAGCCGGAATATCAAACCGGCCAATGCTGCCATCCAGTGGCATAGCCAGGGTTGGAACACCCCCCGAAATTTCACGGTCGTCTTCTTACCCGCTTTCCCCTTTTCAATGTCAGTATATATAGTTTTTTTGTGTATCATTCTTTTTTTTTAGGCCATTAAAAATCCAATGTGTTTCTCTTTCTGTTCGACAGCCCACTAGGGCAAGGGGCCCACAACATCCTAAAGCAAAACGAAGATGACGACGCTGCCCGTGGACCGCGTGAGAAGTCCTGCTCCGGCTCTTCGAATAGCTCTCGCCAAACTCGGCCATGTTAGTAACCAAAGCCTTTCTTCAGACTCGTGGGTACAAATGGCTCAGCTCCCGACGTCACAAAAGCCGCGAAATCCTAACCTCGAAGGACGCTGGCCTCGGAGAATGAAGGCAGCTCAACAAAAGTTCCCCTGCCCTTTGGGTCTCAAGGACTCGACGACAATTTCAGGGCAGCGCAACAAAATTCCAAAATAGCAATACTCTGACTTTACATACCCTACAATGAGGAGAAAACCGGACGACAAAATGACAAACAGCCTAGCAGTTGTTTTTTTTTGTCTTGTCTTCCTTTTTTTAGGGTTTATTTGCCTGTACTCTTTAGCTTCACTAATACACCAACAGAAATGTTAAAAAAGAAACACAGACCCACACACAGAAACATCCCCATGAATGAAAACAAAGCAAGAGAGAAAAGCGGCAGCATATGCACTGTTGAAGCAGCTTTGGAATGCTCCTAATCACTTGGTTTCAAAGCGTACCTAGTTGACTTCTCTAATCGCTGCAGTGGGTAATGTTAACATGCTTGCGTTCAGCACATGAGTCGTGGAACTCCCTTTACGTTTATAGACCCAAGAATGACTATTGACCTACAACATCAAGTGTGTCATCAACGTCTCCAACAGAGTCGACACATTCACGTCGGGCAGCGTCGTGCGCCCTAGGGGAGAGCGATTTGTGGCCAACGACGTCGATCTCTATGTCGCAAGCCTCCATTTCGAGCAAATCTCCAGCCTGTGCGGAGCATTCGTTTCGTTAAATAAACCTCCTGGGGAAGTACTGGTTTTGACAGAGATGTGGAAAGACCGCACCGCTTAGCACATCTCGGCGGTACAGGCAACTATACTCCGCGACAACTTTTCTTGGCATTGCAGTGGATGGTACAGGCCTGCGTCCCCTCTCCCATTTTGAGTATACACAGGCTGTCCTCCTCCCCCATTTTCGGGGAGAGGAGGAGAGCCCGCGCACACTCAAAATGGGAGAGGGACGCGGGCCTCTACCTTCCACTGCATTGCCAAGAAAAGTTGTCGCGGAGTATAGTATCCTAATGTAAACCGCCTGCTGCAAATCCTGACCACAATGCCCGTAGCTGAGGCGGAACGTTCTCGAGACTCCAAAGACTCAAGTCATACCTGAGAGCTTCAACGTCCCAGGAGCGCTTGCTACACCATTCTAAACTGAGACTTCCTTCATCCTTCAGCGCGAGCTTGCTGGCTTCGGCAGTGCTTTGGTTGCGCGTGCCTTCACACTCTTCAGCGCAAGCTCGCGCTAAAGACGGAGCTTCTAGTCCCAGCTAAATGGTGAACACAGTATAAGGGTTGCCCTTTCGAACATTCACCGGAATATGCAAGTCAGCACCGAAAGGGTCGCTTCTTTCTAACGACTGACGGCGGCTTCCACTAAATGTTTAGACCCCACAAAATGACAGAAACTGGTAATTCTCTCTTCCACTTTCTTGTAAAACGACAACGAAGAACGGAGATAACCTAAAACATGACTATGAAATTCTGAAAAATGTGATCCGTGCTCAAACAATGAGCATGACGCTTCACTCGCTCATTGCCCCAGTGCGCACTGAAGTTTTTATGTTTAATCGTATTCTAAACTCTCTGGCACTCTTCCGTAGTTTTCGGCCATTGGATACCCGAGTGTGCCGCAGAGAAGTGCACGGACCGGAATATTTTGTGAGCCTGTCCGGACTTTTTTGTTCAAAGCCAATTACAGTTGAACCTCCATTTAACGAAACCCGATTTTACGAGTTTCCTGATTTAACGAACAAATTCAGATTCCCCGCGCAGCCTATCCCGAAGAATGTCTTTCTCGACTTTACGAAGTTCCCGATTTAACGAAATAATTAGGGGGTCCCGGTGACTTCGCTAAATCGAGGTTCAACTGTATCATATTTTACGATTGCGTTCTTCCGTTGTTCAACACTAAATTTCCCCTCTTTAAGTATTGGACGAACGAGATGTGGAAAAGAAGGTAGGATTTCTGCCTTCTAAGAAACAGGAAAATAGTAAACAAAATTGTGTTCGGGCAATTTCTTTTCCTCTCTTTTTTTTTTTTTTTCTTGTGTCTTTAAACGGTTTGAGCAACAAAAAAAAACACCTCTTGAAAAAACTTCCTGGCTACACCACTGCTGCCATCCCAACCACTAAATGGTTTTCGAATAAAAAAGTGAAAACCGTTTACAACTCCCTGTTACACCGAATTAGAGCGCAGCTCTTGAGGAGGAGGAGGGAAGGGTACTGGGGGGGGGGGGGGTCACGTGACGATGCCGATGATGTCATCAGTGACGTCACTGATGACGTCATCAGTGGCGATGACGATGCGGACTCCGATGACGTCATCAGCGATGATGACGATGACGATGCGGATGTCGGTGACGTCATCAGTGACGTCATCAGTGACGTCACTGATGACGTCATCCGTGATGATGACGATGACGATGCGGATGACGTCATCAGTGATGATGACGATGCGGATGCCGGTGAGGTCATCAGGACGTCACTGATGACATCATCAGTGATGATGACGATGACGATGCGGATGCCGGTAACGTCATCAGTGACGATGATGTCATCGGGGAGGTCACGTGACCTCGGCGGGGGGGTCACGTGTCCCTGGGGGTGGTCACATGACCTCGGGGGGTGTCACGTGACTTCGGGGGGGGGGGGGTCACGTGACCCTGGGGTGACCTTGGTTACGCCGACGCCGCTCAAGCCGGGAACGGGCCCCTAAGAGCTGCGCTCTAAAAGCGCCAGAGAATGCGAGAGTTGCGGCATTGCAGCTCCTGGCTGCCAAAACTCCCGTGGCTCGTCTAGCCCAAGTGCAGCGGAAGAGGCATCTGCCATATCCCCGGCTGTGGCACCGGCAGGATTCTGGCCAACACGACGCTTCCACCCCCTGATTGGGTGCAAATCTCATTTGAGGACGCCCTCAAGTCTTCTAGGCAGCACGGAGGTCGTTTTGCTTCGTCGCTGGCCTTTCTAACATTCCTAGAGATGGACAAGCGTTTCTCGCTCGTGCGGACCAAGTTTCGGATAACTGGCAACCATAATGTCGAGTAACAAGACCGATGAAATGTCGTTACTCTCAAGATAGATTGATCATTGATGCTCAGAGAGGTTAGCCGGAGTTTGTTCTCCAACAGGCACCAAAGAGCGGCTTATCTAGACACTCTACGCAACCCCCTCTTCTGGGCCCATTGGTGAGCGGACAAACAACAGGTCCTCACGGCCCTCACTCACCCTCACACTCATGAATTTTCCTGGTTCGGAAACTCACTCACCCTCACCTCACCTGTGAACATGAGGGTGAGTGAGGGCCCTCATGAGTGAACTTTGCCGAGGTATGAACGTGACATCCCGTTATGTCAAGTCCCGCAATATTTAGAGGGGGAAATTTCACTGCCACATCTAGAGGGAATTTAGGTTTCGTGACTCCATAAGTTGGTGTGATGTCACGCAAGGTCATGACGTCACATGACCATACCACGTGAAGCCACGCTCTGATATGACGTCACAATGACGTCGTATGGCACTACGACATCACATGAAACCATGGTGGCACGGGAAACTAAATTTCCGCTAAAGTTAGCGCAGAACTTTTGTCGCTTAGCGGGGAAGTTGTAACATCACGACAAGACGTAACGTGATGTCACGATTCTGATGTTACAGACATCACTATGACATTAATATCACGCCATGTCACGGCACAAAACATACACGAGACCAGCTGGGAAACTTTGCCCATAACAGCTATCGCCATAAAAAAAAAGAACACCCACCTTTTTCTGGAATACAGAGAAACGTCTCGCCGTTCCTGCTCTCCACCTGAGGAGGAAGAAGCGAGATAATGAGACACTCAAAGCTCTCCAAAAACCTCCTGGAAGGGACAAAGCGACAAAAACTTCCTCCCTCCTATTACCTTAAAAGCTGCAGAGGGAACGAAAAACCTAGACCAAAAGGCAGAGCCCGCTCTATCGAATCTCTGCTAGGTTTCAAAACCAGTGATGTGATTGGCCTAAGCCATTTTGGAGCACCTTTCGGAGCAGCCAGAACAATGTTTTGGAGCAGCAAAAGTGGCCTTTGAAGCAGCCAAAACAGTGTTTCGGAACAGCAAAAGTGGCTTTTGGAGCGGATATTCTTAAAAAAATAAACACAATATTCGTTTTAAATGCTGGACAAACGAAGGGCACTTTGCTCGCCGCAATAAACAAATTATGGTCAAGTTAGACCACCTGGGAGTCTTTCAACATGTTAACTGAAATGCCAATGGCATGACACATTTTCCAATTCTTCAGTTAAATGATACATATATATGTACCCGTTATAGATAAATAAAAACCAAATTGCACATATTAAAATTTATCTGAAAATGACCAGCTTAGTAGTAAATAGCACAGCCTTAGGTTTACTTAAATGATATAATAAATAGAAGCAGTCTCCGACTGATGAAACACATAACTGCTGCAGTGCAATGCGAAATTGTACACAAGACAAAGGTGCATTACAACTAGCGGGTGCTTTTCTTTTTGCTTTTTGAAACTTTTTGCATGGCTGCTACAAGCCTCGCTTGCCTCTGGCTATTAATAAATGTCCACTTTCAGTGTCTCCAAAGAGACATTGAGACACCTCCCACAAGTGTACAGTGCTGTAGGCGTTGCTGAGCAATTTAAAAAAACCGCTTGCCACCATTTTACTACTTGCCGACGTGCCAGATTTTCGTCAAAAGCACGCAAACGTAAAACAATGGATTGCAAGCGTCCCTGTTGGTGGCCTCTGTAGTGCAATCATGCTCTCACGCACATGAGGGTAACTTCGGCAGGCTTGCAGTTGCACGTACTTCGTCGCGCGAGCGGAGATGGCTGTTCGATTAAAACCGAAACCATGCCACTTCGTTCTGTCGCCAAGTGGTTCCCAAAATTGTATGCAAAATGTAACTCTCCAGCATACGACAAAAAAACAGTACAACTGCACGTGCTTGCCAGGCCAAGACACGAGGTACAAGCTAAACACACGGAGAAAAAGAACCTGAGCACATCAATGCAAGACATTGCGAGCCAAGGTCAAAAAGTTCTTGGAACGCTTTGTGCAACGGCTGAACTCGAGACAAGCAAGCGTGCTGTGCAGGTTCAGCGTGCAGATATTGGCTTCTTTGTTTTAGCTCATTTCTCTTCACCAACTTTCTTTCGCGGCAGATTTTTCAAGTACCGGGGTCCCTCTCAAAAGAAAGCCCACCTAGAGAAACCTAGGTAATCAATACTCCGACACAGCAGTCTTTGAGAGTTAAAGAAAGGTTTTTTTGTCGCATATGATTTAAACAAGATCGGGAATGTTGATAAACATGAGGCGGTCCTCGTCCCAGTTTAGTAAGCGCCATATCACATGTGAGGTGGGGACAGGAACACCCGACGTCACGCAGGGACCAGGTATAGTTTTCCCACAGCTGTTGCTATCAGGAGCGAGTGCTTCATCTCACAAAGTAACTCCCGCCACGCAAAAACGTGGTTTCGTTCCACAACATGACGGCATGTCTGGTACCTGGCACGTTAGCGTCAGAGCATCCGCACACGCCCGCGTCTATCGTTGAATAAATTTGAAAAAGACGAGACACGAGACGCATGAGACGACGAGAGCGAAACGAGAGACGGCAGGAAAAACATGCAAGACAGGATCGACGATTGATGCAGGGCACATTGTGTCGAGTGGCTGCTTGCGCCATCTAGCTCACGCATGCTCAATTATGGCAATCGGTTTAGTTTCGGTTTTGAAAGGCGATCAAAATTGGTCTTTTGGCGCACGCTTGGCGCAGATTACCCATGTTTTGGCAAAATGTAGCAGGATTTAGCAGGGTTAGCCCCTTGGTGCAGTTTGGCGCAATTGGCGCAGCAATCACGTCACTGCAAAACACACTGAAAAGTTAAAGGGGCCGTGCAACAATATTGGCCAGGAATGTTTTCCAATTACACAAGCTGACTGGCACCGGCGGGACCCAAGTACAGTAATCGCTCGTTATAACGAAGGCAACGGGATGGCAAAAAAGTTCGACCCCCATATGGGGTAATTCGATAAAAGCGATACAGCCATCAAAACAGTGTCAGCAGCCTTGAAGGTGGACGGGAACACTGCGGAACACTCAGACCGTATATTTAATCGAACAAACCTGTTATGAACATTCCACGACAGCTTTATCGAGCTTTTTTGTTTTCTTCAGCATCGCGATTGGGCTTCCAAGCTCCCAAAACCTTCAAATTGCCTCACATCTTGCGAGTGAGCGTTTACAAGATTCCACTACAAAAGGTGGCAGTAACAGAAGAATGCAGTTCATGGACCCTCATTTTATACGGTTACGGGAGCAGTGCCTAGCACCGCAGGAGCGTGCAGTCGGAAAAGCAACCGCTGCCACTTACGGTAGCCATAATGCCGTCTTTCAACTTCAAAATCATCGAAAGAAAACTTTGAGAAATTTGATATACATTATTTAAAACGAATGTAGGTCGACCCATTTTTCAATTTTTGCAAACCTGAAGTGGAGGGGTCGACTTACAACTGAATCAAAGCATTCCTTCTACCGCCGACAAAAACGAAACAATCTCATTATCAAGATCACCTCAGCTTGTTACAAGTTCAACCGTTGTACCTGCAGCATAGCGCTATTCTGTGCGCTCATTTTACGAATTCTTTTTTTTATTTGCGCGAACGAGTAATATTGATAGCGATTCGCAAATTAGGCCGAATGTAGGGCGGTGAACAGTGCACGGCACGCCCAACTACCAGGGGTGGTGGCACTTCTCGTAAGAGCCACTCCGGAGGCCACTGGAACAGCCTTACGCCTCACGGCTTCTTTTCACAGGCGTTTGATCGAGTGTCGAGATCATGCTGGGCCACCAACTACGTTATTTTTATTTAGCATTGACGCGTGATCCGGGCAGTTTAGGTTTCTGGTGTGGCTGTGTCTACAGTGACGTCCGACGGCACTCCACTCGCGCCTACAAGTGTCGTCCGAAAGAGAGCCGGACGACGCGTGTATCCCTGGGGAACTTGGTAACACACACCCCCACCTGCGTTCACGCCACTTCGCGGCGGCAGTATGCGGCTGCTAATTACTAAACTATTGTTTTTAACTATTACTAAACTATTACTAACTATTACTAAACTATTGTAAGCGGCGTCCAGCCGGCAAAACAAAGCCCCGCTGTCCCCCATGCACCTCCGGAAACAAAGTCCCATACCATTTCGTTCAGCGAAGTTTCGTCGAAAACATTTGTTTTTTCCAGTGTTAATCATAAAAAAAGAAAAGTAAATATCGCCAAATGCATCCACAAAATGTAATGTTTGAGAAAAAAAAAGTAACCAGGGAATGGCAAAGATAAGCGAGGCTGTAGCAGCACACCTTGGCTACAGCCTAATTCGCAGGAGTCTTGAGAAGGACAGGCGAAGGCTTTGCAAGGCCAACAAGGCTCACTCTGAGAGTGAAAAGGTCAAGAAGAGGATGGCCAAGAGACACAAGCCTGCCAGGACTCAGGACTACAGCCCAGGACTGCTATGACCGTGTGCGCACATTGGAGACTACTGAACTAATTTTGTGGTTTCATGTTTTTTTAGTCAGGTGCCTTTTTTCTACGGAGGTTTTGATTATGTTTCCGTATGCCGATTGCAATAAACTTAGTGTTGCTGTTTTCAGCAACAACTAAACTGCACCTCAAGCTTTTCTTTTTTCTCCAGACTTGATATATAAGAGTGCCAACATCGGAGAAACTTCCAAGTGCGATTTTCTCAGCTTTGTCTTCTTTGTCCAGAGCCATTGCCTTACGGAAGTTTTCATAATGTTTGCATGGGCGGATTTCAGTAAGCTTGGTATCGTTGTTTTCAGTAACAACTAAAGTGTATCCTAAAGCTTTTCTTTTTCGTCTAGATTTATAGATAAAAAGTAATTAGCTGAAGCGTGGATTATTTAGTGACAAGTGTTTGCTTTGAAATTCCATGATTTGTTTCTGATAGACAAAATGGCTTTGTAGACTGTAGAGGAGACCAAGAGATGGCGCCAGGAGCGCATCGTGATCTAGATAAGCGTGTGCGCCGCGAGACGCGGGGTACTTTTCGCCACTTGATGCTAGGGTAATAAACGTTGTGGGTCTGCTTCGTCTACCCTCGTCTGCTTCGTCTGCCCGGCTGGCGCGTCGCGCCCAGAGCACACAAGCTCTGAACATGGTGTCAGAAGTAGGATACACCTGCTCGTAGTCAGCGCTACCGCCATGCCGGACGAAGAAAAGAGCGTCCACCTCGGGGCCACGGGGCTTCAACCGCCGTCACCGTTCGTCTTCACGAGCCCAGGCGAATGGACAACGTGGATTCAAACGTACGAGGACTACGCCTTCGCCACCGGTCTACGTTCTGCAAGCGACGAAACGCAAGTAAGAACGTTGCTTTATTGCATGGGTCCGCAAGCTCGTACCGTACTAGCTTCGCTTGGCGTGCCAACCCCGGAGACGCAACCGTTTGCCGCCGTCAAGGAGAGGCTGACTCAACACTTCGTTCATCCGGCGAACGAAATTTACGAAAGCCGAAGATTTCACCGCAGGACTCAGCAGCCTGGGGAAACAGTCGACGCGTTTTTCACGGAGCTTCGAACCCTAATCAGACGCTGCAACTACAACAGCCCCGAGGTAGAAGACCGCCTAGTGCGTGACAAGTTCGTAGTCGGCTTATTGGACGAGAAGCTATCGGACCAGCTGTGCCGTTCCACACGACTCACCGCTGACGAAGCACTTTTACAAGCCCGCCAGCACGAAGATGCTGAGAGGGAGCGCGCTTCTCGTTCGGCGCAAGCT